TTATGATCATTTGTACCTCATTCTCACTGAAACAAACTTTTTTTGCAGTTGGATGAGATCCTGAACATATGCTGGAAGGCATTTTTGAAGTGCAGTTTAATATCCTTCTCTAGATAGGTGTTTTTTGACACTTATTTTAATTAACAATTTTGAAGATTGCGGTAAATTTTAATCAGAAATAAATCTTAATGTAGGTAATATTGTGGCAACAACAAATGTAAAGGGCACAATGGTTTCTTCTCTCAGCCACACCAGGATGATTCTTTCAGAGAGTTTCTTTTTAAGTTCCTGCTGGTTCATTCTCTTTGACTACAGGACCAGCCGACCATCAGGATCCGCTGGACATCTACACAGAACGTTCTGAGTCCAAACGTCTATAACGACAAGAACAGCTTCTGCACTGGTTTTCAAGCGCTGGCACAATGCATTTCAAAAGCATTTAACCTAGACTCAACCACCTCCATCGGTTCCCAAGAGCTCCCCACCTTCCAGTCTCCATGGTCACCAAGTCACACAACTGGTTGTCAAGCAGAACCCATTGCAGATCATGTGACTTTTCATTATTCAATTTTAGCTTGGGAGACAGTCTAAAACACAACTGTCTTATAAAGCCTTATGTAACAATAGAAAAATGTCATAAGGCATTTACAAAATGCAGTCAAGCAAAATTTGAAATTGAGCAACGCAGATAATTCGGACAATTGATTAAAATTATATTCAATGAGTCAGGTTACGTACAGCTTCTTAAAAGGAGAAGAAGGGAGGTATCTAGGGAAGAAATTTTGAAGACTTTGGCCAAGAGTTTTGGCAGCTGAATGCCTGGTTGTCAAAGATGAAGCAAAGAAAATCATATCAGTCAATCAGTCAGAGTTCCTGCAGGCAAAGACACCATATCTTAAAACAGCATTTCTTCTGCACAGATACAGAAATATGTATGTGCAAATAATAATTTACAATTGCCATCAGAATCTAACTTGAGAAAATCAGACAGTTGTATGCTTTGGGTAGTTGAGACTTTGATTGTCAAGACAGATCATTGACCTATTTAACAGTGTGGAATTGTAAGTTTGTAAAAAGAGATTAAAAGAGGTCACAGTTTAGAGCACTGTCAGCAGTCTCATTCCAGATAAGTGAGAATTGATATATCTACAAAATGTACGTAGGTGAAGCTCACTGTGAGGAAAATACAGTGAGCAGAGAATCTCACATTTCAACAACGCAGGTACAAAATGTCTGCCACTTTAGTATTTAAATTTAGGTTATGGAATCATAGGAAACAGAGGTCAGATATTTACTTTTATATGTTTGACAACACGGTTAAGGCAGCTATTGCCCATCCCTTGTTTCCCAAAGGGTAGCTGAGAGTTAAACAATTGCTGTGGGTCTGGATTCACATGTTAGCCAGACCAGGTAAGGATGGCAGATATCCTTCATTAAAGTTCATTACAGAACCAGATGAGTTTTCACAACAATTGATAGTGGTTACATTTTCAACATTGGGCTAGCTTTTAATTTCATGTTTATTTTATTGAATGGCTCCAGTACGTTACACTGAGGTTTAGGGGTCACAGGTTCAACGTGCAGGGGGGAAAGTTTAAAAGAGATGTGCAAGGCAAGTTTTTCACACAAAGGCTGCCGAGTGCCTGAAACACGCTGCCAGAGGAGGAGGTGGAGGCAGACACAATAGCAGCAACAAGAAGCACCTGGACAGAAATGTGAAAAGGAAAGGAATAGAGGGATACGGATCCTGCAAGTGAAGACAGTTTTAATATGGAAGGGCTAAAAGTGTTGCCGTAGTTTTGGAGCGCCGAATGCTCTCTTCCTGTGTTGCATTGTTCTTTGTTCTTTGTTCTTTATCAGTTATCAGTTCTTACCAAAAACAATGAGGTGCATGCATTCCAAGGTGCCTGAACTGGTTTCCAAAAGGAATGCACAAGAAAAGTTAGCTATGTGAGTTTTCTAAAATAAGTTCATAGAAACCAACAGAACAAGGTTTAGCACGGGAATTAAGGTGTACAGGCAGTCCCTGGTTTACTAATGGGTTCCGTTCCTGAGTACATTCATAAGTTGATTTGTACGCAAGTTGGAACACAATACAGTACAATATAAAATAGCCATTTGTAAGTACAAGCCAATGTTAGATCCTCAAAATTAATTATAATATGTAATCTTGTTCATAATTATGAGCATTCATAAGTCGGATGTTCGGAAGTTGGGAATTTGTATCTTAATCATTCTATAATGTAGAAGCATTGGTAACTCTTGTCCAATCTTTGTTGAGCAGGAGTAACTCAAAAAGAAACTGACAAAGATGCAATGTTGAAGAGTTCAAAGCATTTACGACAAAAAAATCAAAAACTGTAGAGCAAAGTTTCCGAGTAGATGAAAAAACAGTCAAAGAGTTATAATCCAAAGTAGTAATGCAAAGTCCGCTGCAGGTAAAGAAATCTGGTGGAACACAAATGTATAGTGAGTGTGTCAAGGGTGTGTCAGTGAAACTCTTCCACCACAGGGAAAGAAGATTGACCCCTACCAATATGGAACTCCCAAAACCCAAGGAAGCAAAACTGCAACTGGAACATTGACAAGGATTTTTTTTCTGGCAAGCAGCCCAGCATTGACAGAAGTCTTGAATACTTCAGTAACCCAAATTGCTCTTTTTCATTGAGTTGTCCACTTGTCCCGAGCACTAATGTATTTCAAACAGCATTGAATAGATCTTTGTCCTACTGGTGTCCACAGATAAAGCTTAAAAAATAATCAAGGGCATACTTCATTGCTTGTCCTTTCCATTTTGCATTCCTGAAAGGGAAATAGAATGGATGTTTTATGCGCTGAGGTGAAGACAGAAAGCTATTGTTAATGAACAATTTTGCTTAACTAAGGATAAAATATGGTTTAATGAACTGGAGTAACATGTATGAATTACTTTACCTAGTGCAGTAGTAGCTGAAGATATGGGGTGTGTTTTTGCATTATATACTGATTACTCTGTTGCTAACTGAGAAATGCATGTAAAGGACTATGGCCCATCATGCAGATTATCACCCTGCACTAAATGATTAATGTAGGCAGCAAGATGCAATGTATCAAGAAGTTATGCTCCTGGTGATGTGCACTTGCTTTAAGAAGGGTAGATCAGGGTGATCAAGACTTCTACAACCTTGAGATTCTAGCAAAGAATGAATCAAAGTAGAAAATTGTCCAATAAATCTGGATTTTAGCACAATTAAGGTGGTAGGAATAATGTCAAAAGATACACTTGGAGCTTTGAAAAAAAGATGAAAATTCCAATTGTAATGGCCAGATTACAATGTATAATATCCCAATGACAGATACTGGAAACTGGAGGAGAGGCAGACGCCTTTTAGACACAACCATAAATCAACAGGTTGAGGTTTAGCATGAGAATTTAGGTGTAGAGGCAATCCCCAGATTACAAATGGGTTCCATTCCTGAGTACATTCGTAAGTCGCTTTGTATGAGTGAATGTTTCCATACTGGATTCTTAAAATTAATAGCAATTTGGGATCTCATTTGTAATTATGAGTGCTGGTAAGTCAGATTTTTGTAATTTGGGATCCACTTAGGCTTAGTCATCCTATAATGTATAATGCCCTGCACCACTGCCTACAAGTCAGGTGTAGGAAATGTTTTGCTTCTGACACTTGAGAAAGTATTGTTTGAAATAGATAGATTTCTAAATATCATTCTTGGAAGAGGGGAGGTTTAATGGCATCCATGCTCCTGGGTTGTACATGGTTAATTGATAAATTTGTTTTCTACTGCTCAATCAGGTTTTTGGGAACAAGTTTGATAAGAAGGTCTGACCATCGTTTATTCATTTTAATCTTTTCTGTCTTTATTGAATCAGAGAATCTACAGTATGGAAGCAGGCTATTCCGCCCATCGTGTCCACAACAACCCTCTGAAGAGCATTCCACCTAGACCCACCCTACCCCTGTAACCCCATAGTTCCCATGGCTAATCCACTTAGACTGCACATCCCTGGACACTTTGGGCAATTTAGCATGGCTAATTCACCTAACCAGCACATCTCTGGACTGTGGGAGGAAAGCGGAGCACCCGGAGGAAACACACGCAGACATGGGGACAATGTGCTAATGTCATACAGTCGCTGAGTCTGGAATGAAATCCAGGTCCCTGGCACTGTGAGGCAGCAGTGCCAACCACTGAGCCACTGTGCCACCCTATAATGTGCCAAAATTGAACTGCGAATTTGCGGAAACCATTCCAGCAACAGCTCCCTCCCCCCACGATTAAAATCTCAACTGCAGAGAACCAAAACCATTTCTGAAACTTTCCGAAGCCAACCAGTTTGGAATTCTAACCTCTTGGTTAGTGGTGATGACTTTCTTGTATGGGTGTAAACAGAGTTGGAAAAATCAGATTTTAAGACTCTTCATAAATGAATGGCCGACTGTGAGGAGAGCCAAGAGGTATACGGAACAGCTGTAGGTTGTAATTCTAGAGGATGTGACATTCAATTAAACATTAAAACTTCCCTCTAGTCTTGCTACTTCAAGACTTTGGCCAATGTTATAATTTGTGCGATGTAAATATTTCCAGCCCAGGTAGGCCTCATAAATCAGCATAATCAGTTTGAAGATGTAATGAGATCAGAAACTGCTGGCTGAAGGAATAATTCAGAATTTCCAATAACATTGAAATGTTGCGAAATCTACATCTTAAAGCCAGACAGATTCATAGTGCACTGTACGTTTTCCATAACGTATAGTTTTTTTTTGTTTAGTATCTTCAAAAGAGGAAGAAAATTGTTTTTTCTTTTCCAACAAGACTTGATGATTTGCATGCTCAATGCTTCATCACGTAATGTGTAAAATTGAAGCACTGTTCTATTTAAACTCTCATGACATAGCTTGTTACGATGGTGAATGATTAACACAAAAATTTTGGGGATAATTTTATTCTATTCTGCCAGGGTGGTGGGTGACTTGTCACTCCCAAAACAGGTTAAATCAACCACAAGGCAAATGGATAAAGGGTGCAAAATGATACCCCACCTCTTTCTCAGCTGGTGGATAGCCTGTAAAACAACATACATATCAGTATATCGCATTCATTTTGCTGTTTATAGTGTATTGTCCTTATTTGAGTGTGAGGTAAGTCTATGAGTAGGGCTTTCTCACTTTAACATTACTGTGTATTACACCTGGATCTTGAGAGGTCTTTTTTCTAGCTCCTACGTTGTCAGGCTGCCAACTCTCACTGGTTAATGCGGAAAACTAATCCAGAGCTATTTCCTGTTGCCTCACATTAATGGCTTTCCTCCTTCCTGAGCTTCTTGCTGTAGCCCACTGCTTGCTTGCTCCACAATGATTTGCTAAATTGCAGTCCCAGCATTTGATTCCGTTTAGAACTATATTATTTCAACATAATGACCTACTTAATGAGCCCAATGCTTTCCTGCTACTCACGTCGACATTTCTAACTCGTTGCCTTCTTATGTCTGTCACTTTGCTTATTTCCACTGACTGTTTGCACATTGAAAAATGAATAACACTGAACTCTACATGACTAACCTACATGGTTCCTTTTATTCTATGTACAATCGTTTTGGGGGACAGTTTATTTTGTGTTAAGCCTAGAGATTCCTTCTGATTTGTTTGCTCAGAACAATCAGAAGGGTTATATACCATTGGAGAATAATCCAGTTGAGCAGTGAACCTGTTGTACAGCATTATACATTTTTCACTCAATTTCTGCAGTATCTTCTCTACTAGTCCCCATGTCTTCCAGCGAAGGACTCTGTGCTCTCTGAAATGGGCAAGTCATCACACATCTTCTTATATCTTCTGTGTTTAGTATCATGTAACCAGATGAAACACGTGTTTATGCCTGTTTCTATAGCTCTGTATTAAGCTTGTATGACCAGGGAACTCTCCTGAACCTTCTGCCACCTTTAGCTGTTTTACAAGGATCTGCAGATTGGCAATCAACCTATTGGGCCATGTTACAAATGCACCACCCTTGGCCATTAAGTACCGAAGTCAGACTCGAACCTAGATCTGAGTTTGAACCTGGTTCAGAGACAGGACCACTAGCCATTGAACCAGAAAAGACCTCCCACATATCTATCTGTGAAACATGCACACAAATTGATGTAACTGTTTACCTCTCCAAGGATAATTTTGTTTCTCCTGAACTAGTACACTAATGTCAATTCAAAGCATGATGAGGCCCTCCATGCCACTGTAAAAATGCTACTATGCTTATATTTTGGAAAAATCTTGCCTCTGGCTCCTTGTGGCCCAGTCTCTCCTCGAGGCCCAGGCAGTCCTGGCAGGCCATCATTTCCTGGTGGCCCTGGTAGGCCTATTTTGGCCTGAGCAGCCAACATTGCAGCAGGAGATTTCAGTTTGTAGTGAGCAAGTCTCTCTGGAAAAGAAATGAAATTAAAAGAGGCAAAGTGTATTAATCCATAGCACAATGACAATACCCACTTACTTGGACAGGGGCAAGAGGAAGCATTCAGGCCCTCTAGTACATTCCACCATTGAGTTAGGCTGACCTGCATTGTAACTTTAGCTGCTCGCAATGATTTCCTCACCCTTTATAGCCTTACATAACAAATCTATTAACTCACTTTTGAAATGTTGATTTGACCCCTCCAGCCTCAACAACTTTGTGGGATAGAGTTGCAAATTCTGACTCCCCTTTTATCTGAAGCATGTAGAAAATCCCAAAACACTTTGAGACAAGAAGAGGAAAAATAAATATTCAAGAGAATCAAGCTGCAGTAGCAGATTTATCTTTCTTTATTCTCTCATGCAATATGAGTGTCGCTGATAAAACCAATGTTTGTTGTCCATTCTTAATTTTTCTTCAACTGAATGGCTTGTTCCCCCACTTCAGAGAGCACTTGAGAGTCAGCCACATTGGTCTGGGTCTGGAGTCACATGTAGGCCAATCGAGGTAAGGACAGCAGATTTCCTTCCCTCAAGGACATCAGTGAACTGGGTGAGTTTCTACAAAATTGATGATGGTATCATGGTCACCATTACCGAAACTAGATTTCAATTCCAGATCTATTAATCTGGAGGATGTGACAGAGTGGTAATGTAACTCTCAAAACGCAGACTGCCAGGTTGATGTTCACAGGAAATCCTACTATGACAAGTGGTGAAGTTTCAATTCAATTAAATCTGAAATTAAAAACATAATTTCACTGTTGATCTTCTTTGAAAGAAAACGTCAGATTTACTAATGTCTTTCACGGAAGGAAATCAGCCATCCTTATCTGGTCTGGTATACATGTGACTCCACCGCAATGTAACTCGCTCTGAAATGGCCTAGCAAGCCACTCATTTCAAGGGCAATTAGGGACTCTCAATAAATGCTGGCCTATACAGCAACACCCACATCCCATGCAACTGTAAAACAAAATCTAAAATTCTTGCTATAGCGGGATTTGAACACATCTCCAGAATATTATTCTGAGCCTCTAGATTGTTGGCAGGACAAGGATTGATAGATTCCTGCAAATCTCCACTTGGATTGGGGCTCAGATACTGGACTCAGCACTTCCTGCCCTTGCAGGGGACAACATGACTGCCTCCTCATGGCCTCCTATGGTGGGATTTGAACTCCTGTCTCCAATGTAAGGAAAGCAAAATATTGTGGATGCTGGAGATCTGAAATAAAAACAGAAGTGCTGGAGAAACTCTGTGTCTGTGGAGAGAAAAAAAACTGAGTTAATGAGTTTTGAAAAGATTCATACCAGGCTTGAAACATTACCTCTGTTTCTTACCTTTCCACTTACGTCACCTCTCCACTTCTTGGAAAGAAGGTCTAAACTGACTCCAACTACCACTGCCCTCCTTCATCTAACTGACCTCATCCTCACTTTGAACAACTACTCCTTTAACTCTTCTCACTTTCTTCAGGTCAAAGGTGTGGCCATGGGTACCTGCATGGACCCCAGTTGTACCCGTCTCTTTGTGAGGTATACGAAATGTTCCTTGTTCCAATCCTACTGAGGGCTGTCCACACAGCTCTTTCTCTGGCCCATCAATGATATTGCTTCCCTCTCTTGTTCTGAACTGTGAAAATTTATTAATTTCACTTTCAATTTCTATCATGCCCTCACCTTCATCTCCCTTCCCTTCTTTGACATCTCTGTTTCTATTTCTGGTGATTGGCTGGCCACAAACATCTATTACAAACCCACTGATTCCTACAGCTACCTCGAATATACACCCTTATGATCAGCTTTCTATATGAACTCTATTCCATTCTCCCAGTTTCTCCATCTCCATCGCACCTGGTCTGACGATGCCATCTTCTGTAGGGGGGCCTTAGAAATGTCCACCTTCTTCTTCAACCAAAGACTTCCCACTACCATGGTCGACAGGGCCCTTAGCTGTGTTGAACTCATCTCCTGCACTTCTGCCCTCACCACTTCCCTCCCACAACAACTATAGGGTGCCCTTTGTCGTCACTTACCACCCCACCAGTCTCTGCATCCAAAAGATTGTAAGCTGTCATTTCCATCACTTAAAATGGGATACCACCACCACCAGACACATATTGTCCTCCCCTCCTTTGTCAGCATTCCATAGGGACTATTCTCCTTCATTCCCAACACCTCCTCACACACTCACGTTGCCTTCCCATGCAATTGCAGAATGTGTAATGCCTTTCCATTTATCTCCTCCGTCCTCACCATCCAAGGTCCCCAGATATACCTTCCAGGTGACACAATGATTTATTCAATCTGGTCCACTGTACTTCATTTAATCTAATCTACTGTATTTGCTGTTCATAATGTGGGAGATAAAACACAGCCTGGGTGACTTCTTTGCAGATTATGTCTGCAAAAAAGACCCAAGCTTCCAGATGACTGCCACTTCAACTGCACCACCATGTTCCCTGGCCAACATTTCTCTTGCAGGCCTGCTGCAGTGTTCCAGCAAACCTATCTCGAAGAACAACAACTCATTTTCCATGTGGGAACCCTATAGCCTCTAGGACTTCATTAACTTTAGATCCTGATTCTATCCTTCCATGTTTTTTACCAATCCCATGACATGAGACAAAAATAGAAATCAGAGTAAATGTTTTGGATCAAGTGACCCTTCCTCAGAACTGTTATAACATGGGTTGCTTTTAGCACAGTCACCTATTCTCACCTATTCCTAGGCACATTATCAGATTATATGGATCGCATTCAGTACAGCTCACACAGTTTCTCCTACTCTTTAGCTTTTCTTCTGTCCAGGCCTGCTACCCATTAGCTCTTCGTTTACCTACCCCTTTCATATCTTTCTCTCTTCCACTTTATCCACTCACCTCTCCTCTTAGACCACTCACCACCCCAACTTCGGTTTCATCATAAATACCACTTTTTCCTAGCCGCTAACAGTTCTGATGAGGCGTCACCTGACTCAAAATATTAACTCTGCTTTCTTCCTACAGATGCTGCCAGACCTACTGAGTTTCTCGCTATTTTTGTTTTTGTTTCAGATCTCCAGCGTCTACAGTTCTTTGTTTTACTTTTGTGAAACATGATTTCTGTTTCATAAATCCATGTCGACTCTGTCCAACCTTATCATTACTTTCTAAGTGCCTAGTTAGCACATCCTTCATAACAGATTCTAACAATTTCCCTATTACTGACAACAAATTTACAGGTCTATAGTTCTTTCTTTTCCCTCTTATTCCTTGCTTAAATAGTGGGAATTATATCTGTTACTTTCCAATTTGCCAAAAACATTCCAGAATCTGAAGAACTTTGAAAGCTATCTATCAACGAATCCATCATCTCTTTAGCTATATCCTTTACAGTCTGGGACATAACTCATCTGTACAGGGGATTTATCAACCTTCAATTCAGTTAATGCTTTGAGCCCTACTTTATTAACACTGATTTATTTCAGTTCCTCACTGTCACAAGTCCATTGGTTGCCTAGTATTTCTGGAAGATTTTCTGTATCTTCTTTTGTGAAAATAGATACAAAGTAGTTGTTTAGTTCCTTTGCCAGTTCCCTGTTCTCATTTATAAAATTTACTGTCTCCACCTGCACTACAACCACAGTTGCCTTTACTGATCTTTTCCTTTTCATATATCTAAAGAAGCTTTTGTTATTGACCTTCATGTTTCTCGCTAGTTTGCATTCATATCTTCTTTTCTCTTTATCAGTTTCTTGGTTGGCCTTTGCTGGATTCCAAATTGCTTCAAATTCTTAGGCTTATCACTTTTTTCTGACAACCTTAAGCCATTATCTTTAATCCAATGCAATATTTAATTTATTTTGTTAGCTCATGTTGATTTCCTTTTTCTGCTTTTTTTTTGTAACTCGGGGTAATGTATACTTTTTGGAGACCATGTAATACTTCTTTAAATGCCAGCTGTCTACTGTCAAATCTTTTAGTGTACCTTCCCACTCCATAATCACCACCCCTCATATGTTCAGAATTTTCTTTGTTTAAATTTAAGACCCTAGTTGCAGAACAAACTAAATCACTTTCAAATGTAATGATAAAGATCTGTCATACTATGGTCACCATTTTCCAAATGCTCCTCCACAGCATGGTTATTAAAAGGTATGATGGGCAAACTGGCTTTGGTGAGGTGGGAAAATACGTTAAAAGATATGATGATGCATAAGTAATGAATAACCTTTAAAGAAGCATTACATAGTTTACATAAACTATACATTCCTGCAATGCACAAAACTGTCGAATGTGGCTAATAAAGGAGTTTCAGGATTGCATAAGATTAAAATAAAGAGCCTATAAATTTGCCAGAAAAAGTAATAAACTTGAGGACTGGGAGGATTTTAGAATATATCAAAGGAGGACCAAGAAACTATTAAAGAAAGGGAGAATAGAATATGAATGCAAACTCGCAAAAAACATAAAACTGGATTTAAAAAGCTTCTATGGGCATGCAGAAATAAACACTTGGTTATGACAAATGTCTGTGCCAGGAGAATTTGCAATGGGGGAATAGAGAAATAGCAGAAAAGCTAAATAAATAGTTTGTGTCTGTTTTTAATGGAGGATGATACAAGAAATCTCCCGGAAAAAAAAATCTAAGGGGCTACGGAGAATAAAAAATGGAAAGAAATTAGCATTAATAAGAAGGAACTGTTGGAGAAACTAACAAGACTAAAGATTGCTAAGTTTTTACTCCCTGATATTCTACATCCAAATGGTAAATGAGGTAACTATGGAGATAGTGGATGTTTTGGTGAACATCTACCAAATTCTGGAATGGTTTCTGCACACTGGAAAGTACCACATGTCACTCCAGAATTTAAGGCCAGAGGGAGAGAGAAAACAGGGAATTATTGACCTGTTGGACAGATACTGCAGGTTGGTTTGTATGCCCTTGACTTTGGAAGATTTATGACATACTCTAATAATGTTTTAAAATGTGAAATTGATTCAATAGAGCAAAATATGGAGCAACTGAGCTCTTTTGTGCCAAGGGAAAAAAGCAGCATGACCTGAAATTTACAACCAGGCAACTGAAGAATGAAATAAGAAAGCATTCTTTCACATAATCATTGGGTGAGAAAATCTGCAATTAAACAAATGGCAGAACAAAGTGGAGAGACTGAAAGGCATAATACCATTCCTGTGCATTGGGCAAAAGATTAAAACTTATTAGGCTATTTATCATGGTGGTGTCACTGTTGAACCTGTTCTTGCCTAGCCTCATGTTTGTACCTGCACACAAACTAAAAGTCTGTGTCATTGCCTTCGCCTGTAAATGATGCAGAGGTCAACACTTGTGTACTGTCTGCTGAGATCAGATCCTAATGATGTAAAAATTTCTCAAGAGATTGCCAGAGTATCTGGGGATTTTTGACAGATGTGATAAAGGGCAGTTGGTAAACTGCCACTTAGGCATCAACACACATGATATGCAACCTACTTACCTTCAAAAACCCTGTGGACCTCTTGTCTTATAAATCTTGATATTTCCTCAAATGAAATGTTTCTGCCCTTGTGAAGCAAAGAGATATTTCTGATTAATAATCAGTTATGGCATTAGGACGCCCGATATTTAGCAGAAACACATAAAGTGTCAAAACCTATCAAGGTGGAAGATATCTGGGATGGAAAAGTTCCCTTGCTCTGAAAGTAGTTCAAACTGGATATGCTAGTAAACCTATAAAGTCTAGCTGTTTCCTTTGAGATCAGAATGAGATGTAGTCCGATTCAATGGAATTCAGCTGGATTCTGGTAACACATAATGGAACAATGTGACTTTGATTTCCTTTTCCTGACTAATGTCTTCAAACAGATTTGTAGAAACATGTAACACAGGAGCCAGCAGAAACTCTCTTCAACTTTTATCGAAGAAGTGAAGACAAACTCAATTCATACACAAGGTTATGTAAATAATTAATAACCTTGGCCTTTCCATGACTGTCATGCTCGTCTCAAGGATACCTACTTACCAAACTTGCATTTATTTTTATTATTTATATTGTCTGTATTATATTTTTAAAAATGTTTACATTTATTTTTTGCTGAATGATGACTAAAAATAGTATTTTGAACTAACACCATTAGAATCAATGTTGATTGACAATTCTGTAGACAAACGTTGGCTAAAATTGGGTTAGAATGACAAACTTTTGCTACTTTCTTTTTTGTACCTGATCTGTCAATCATGATTGATGGCTGCTACAGCAGGCACCAACTGGTAATGTTCTGAATAAGGACCTTTAAGACCTGCCAAAATGACAGAAAAGGAGCTGGGAGAGAATTCTTGGTCTCCCTATGTCATCTCACAGCATTGACTGTCAAATGCTGGAAGCGATCAAAAAACTACTGAAGGGTCAATTACTGGTTCCAAAGCATATATAATAGGATCCTGTTATCCACCCATTGTCCTGCTAAACTGCAATTCTCCATGGATAGAGTAAAATGTTGTTTTTTAAGGGGTACAGATTTATCAAAGGAAGTAGATTGTGTATTGAGCACTCCTCATATGTGGAATCTCGGAATTTTACCCATTGGTAAGTTTGAACCTTCTTTTCTTGTTTAATTATTGTGTAACAATTCCTATCTCTACATTCATGAGCATTAATACCAAATCCAGCAGGTTTTGCATGATTATATCTGAGACACTCACTGATTTTTTTAAATAACTGAGTGTAAACCATTTGTGCTTGAAACCTTGATTGACTCCACTACAATGATTATACAATGCTAAACTTAATTTATAATCTTTATGCCTCCCTGAATTTTAATTCCTTTTTAACTGTGAAGACTGAAGCAAAATAAAGACAGCAGCCATTCAGTCACTTTGCCAGTCAAGTTTATAAAACTTTCCTTACGCAGTTTCTCAACTTCTCCAATGTGATATGACCTGTTAATTACAATTTCCTAACTATACTGCTTTTGCCATCCTGACACTATCCTTTATTTAGCCTCTCAGTTTTCCTTTCTAATTTACAACAACTGACACTTATTTGGGACCTTTAAGCTGTAATAAAACAGAGGAGTTATTATGAAGGAAAATTCAAATCCATCTCAAAAGCATACATTAAGGAAGGGGCCCAAAAGCTCAGTCAAAGCAAGTGGTCTACAAAGGAAGAGTGTGAAGTAAGGAGGCAGAAGTCTGGGAAGGAATCTAGAGTTTAGGAAGCAGGAAGCCGAAGGCATGGCAGCTCAATGCCAAATCACGATGTGGCCAGAACTGGAGGAACACAGAGATTTGGGAGGCTAAAATCTGTAGAAGGTCACAGAAACTGGGGGAGGGGAGGTCATGGAGGCCTCCTTTGGAATATTTAACTCCTGTCTTGCTTAGCTAGAATTCATTGTCTTTCAATGTAAATGCATTAGGCCATTCCAGCGTTATATCTGATTCCTGTTGCTCAACATTATTTTGTAATGTTTCCAGCATTATTGGAGAGAAGACCTGACTGTGAAATTCCTGGTGAACAACATAATTCTTGCCCAGCCCTCAATTTACCCTGAAGAGGTGACGTTGGACCTTCTCACTGAAATCCTATAGTGCATACATTTTTACATCCCCAGTCAGGTACACTAGGCTTTAATAAATAAAGTAATGAATATCATGCAAAGCTAAATTGTGGTGTGTGGTTTAACAGGGAGCTTTAAGGTGGTAATAGTGTACACAGGGAACTTGCACTGTTTTTCTCAATGGGTTCTTTTACATACCCAATTATCACTTTAGAATCGTTGTTTGTAAGTTCTGCTGCCAAGACTCTATGTGTAGGAATTTTTCCAGTGAACTTCTCTGCCACACTCTGTCTCTTCCTGTAAGAAGCTGCTAATATCTACCTCTTTGCCTGTCCTAATTTCTCCTTATCCAGCTCAGTGTTACTATTTGTTTGAATAACACTCCTGTCAAGTGACCTGGCATACTTTACCACATTAAGGTTACTATACAAATGTAAGTTATTATTGCCAAAGACAGTATTAAAATTCCCTTATTTCAGAAGATGATTTATTTTGGGTGCCTTTGTTAATCAGTAGCCAAAATATTAATGACAGAATGTAAGAGTCCACATTTAATTGTGACGTTGACCACGGCAACTTCTCTGAGTACTCGCAAAGCAGCTTCCTTCTGTGCTCATGGTCAGATGAAGCTGATGATGCTGAATAAGCAGCAACTGAAGGGACAATAGTTTAGTGCCAGGGGAAATCATCCCCTCAATCAAGATCCCTCCTGGGTTTTCTTAATTCTGTTCATCTTAATACTGTAAATATTATTTGATTAATATGTTGGAACTATCTCCATAAACATAGAATCCCTCCAGTGTGGAAACAGGCCATTTGGCCCGCAATGACTCTCCGAACAGCATCCCATTCAAGTGCACCCCCCCTACCCTGTAACCCTGCATGACTAATCTACCTAAGCACTGTGCCACCATGCCGTTCTTGTCACAGAAATACTGCAAAGCTTGGTGATGTAGCTCCTGCAGTTTACTGTCTGTCATCACAGATGGAAGTGTATTATTTGTCATAGATTTGTGATTGTTATTTGATATGAAGTCTTCAGTCTCATCCAACATGATGGATGATTGATGATATGCAATTCAGAAATGTTATCTATTATTTCATAGGTCTTGACCATCACTCATTGCAATGTCTTAGGACCCAGGACACTGTCAGAATTTTCCACAAACCTGTATGTTTACATGAAAATCTTGAACTCTGGTGCTTTGTCCTCTTTCAAGGTGGTATAGCTGCATGCTCATTGATCTTCCTATTACACTATTCTCTTTATTTTCTTTCCAACAACATGTCCTGTACGTGTGGTTGGATTGTAAGCATGTTGGAGGGATGAACTGTATGAATTTGTCTTCCAAACTTTGAGCACTGCTGGTGAGACTAAAAGGCTGCCTTGAAAAGTAGCACACAGTTTCAACATAGCTTTCTGAAAATCTTGGCAAGTCATTTTACATTTAACGGTGGTGGAATTTACAGCATAAACTGTATGTTCTTTGAGACTGTTCAGCTATTGTAATAGTGTTTATGTGGTGTGTTATCTTTCCCAAATGTACTACCTGACTGCGGTCTTCAGACTTGATCGAAATGCTTGTGTGTCATGGATGCAGCTTTGGAAGCTCCTTTATTTCTTCTTCCTTGCTTGGCTCTTTTTCACATGTTGCTAAGGAGCGGTGTGTTATACTTCACGTTTCTTTCAATGTTCCTCATCTTGACACACACAGGATAGTGTCCTCGGCCCAACGTTTTCAGCTGCTTCACTAATGACCTTCCCTCCATCATAAGGTCAGGAGTGGGCATTTTCGTCAATGATTGCAGAATGTTCAGCACCATTTGCAACTCTTCAGACACTGAGGTAGTCTATTTTCAAATGTAACAAGATCTGGACAATATCCAGACTTCAGCTGACAAGTGGCAAGTAACATTCATGCCAGACAAATGCTAAGAAATGACCATTTCCGACATGAGACAATCTAATAATTGTTCCTTGATATTCAATGTATTACCATCATCTACAGGACCCAAGTCAGCAGTATGATAGAATACTCCCTAATTGGCTGCATGGGTACAGCTCCAACAACACTCAAGTAGCTTGACACTATTAAAGTCAAAACAGACCGACTGATTGGCACCACATCCACTCCCTCCACCACCAACACCCAATAACAACTGTGTGTACTATTTACAAGATGCACTGCAGATATTCACCATCCAACCCATGACCATTTCCATGTAGAAGGACAAAGGCAGCAGACATGTGGGAACACCACTACCTGCAAGGTCACCTCCAAGTCACTCATCAACCTGACTTGGAAATATCTTTCACTGCTACTGAGTCAAAATCCTGGAATTACCTCCATGCTGATATTGTAGATATATTTCATTTCATAGAATTTCATAGAATCCCTACAGTGTGGAAATAGGCCCTTCAGCCCAACAAGTCCACATTGACCCTTACACCATCCCATCCAGACCTAACCCCCTATAACCTACCTAATCTACACATCCCTGAACACTATGGGCAATTTAGCATGGCCAATCCACCTAGCTTGCACATCTTTGGACTGTGGGAAGAAACCCACGCAGACACGGGGAGAATGTGCAAACTCCACACAGACAGTCACCCATGGGTGGAATCGAACCTGGGTCCCTGGCGCTGTGAGGCAGCAGTGCTAATCACTGAGCGTGCCACGTGTTGCCCTAACAGAAACTGTAGCGGTTCAAGAAAGCAACTCATTACCATCTCCTCAATGGAAAGTAGAGGTGGGCATTAAATGCTGGCCAGCCAGTGATACTCACGTCCCACAGAAGAATTGAAAAAAACTTTATTCTAAATGTGACTTGTGGATATGCAAAGAGTTTTGGTTTGAAAATATTGTAATTGACATGGCAAGTTATTTGTGTGATTTACTCTTACGGGAAAACCTGGGGGTCCATGAGGTCCTGGAGGTCCCTCTTTTCCAGTTGGCCCAATTGGTCCAGACGGCCCAATCATTCCTTTCTCCCCCCGAGGTCCTGGATAACCTGGTCTTCCTCTTTCACCCTGAGGACCTCGATCTCCCAGTATTCCTGGATCTCCCTGTTCAAACAGAAAAGTGAAGACAAAATTTTGCAGAAATGCTTGATATTGTGGAGCGAAATTTAAAGCCGTCATGAGAAAGTATTCAAAGAGACACTTAATTTTAAAGAGCCTCAGAATTCCTATGAGGATGGGGGAAGGGAAGAATACTTACAAAGAAAAACACACCAGTAAGTTCACAGTATTAACAAGCATGTCTCAAATTTCAAAGTTGTAAATCTATTACTTAACTATTGATGAAATTACATTATTTCCATTCCTTTCCTATGAATTGTCCAACTGGTTAATTTGAGTTGAACCCATGATGCAAAGAAGAATGCCTGTGATTTGAATCCCTGCTATTGACATAGACAATTCAATATTTCTTCCTCATTGTCTCCATGACGTGTTGAGATTTTCTGGGGTCTGTCATGTCACTCATGTGTCCTTCATCAGAGTCCCAGAGAACAAGTGTGCACTCGTATTGTTGGTGAACTGCAGGACAATCCCAAGCTGTCCTTACTTAAAATCCAGGCATGACTGCTTTCAGCAAGGTCCACAAGTATAGGAGGAGGTCATTCAGCCCCTCAATTCCCTTCCATCTTTTCAATAAGTGGTGGTTGAACTATACCTCAACTCCCTTTACCCACTTTACTCAACAGCACATCACAAAACTCTGACCTGAAATTTTCCTCAGTCTTAGAAATATCAAGTCACCTAATAAATACAGCCACCTTAGCGAGACAGCCCCACTTTGTATGAAACAACCCTGTATAAAATCTTTTATTTCATTTGGTGGCATAAACATAGAATTACATTGAATGTACCACATAAAAACAGGCCAAATGGTCTAAATGGTCTTCACTGGTGATCCACTCAAGAATTAAATCACCTCTTGTTTATTGCTTCCCCTTGTCACTACCTCACTAGCTCCATTTTTTGTAGCAGCAGCAGCGGGAGCAGTGAGAGCGAGGACCAGGGGCCTGCAGGGAGGTAAGTTCTTCATTTCGGCAGCGGAGCTGAGTGGGAGCAGTCGAATTGTGCTCTCGGAAGTTGAGTGAACTGATATATTTGGGCAGTGGCTAAACCTGAGACACTACACATGTAGTGTGTTGATAAGGTAAGTGTTTTTCTTTTTGTTTTCTTTTTGTTTTTTTCATCGTGTGCTGGTAAGTAGAGTGATTTGGTACAATTTTTTTTCATTTCATTCATCTAGTATTTGATATTATAGCAGGACTAAGTTAAGCTTAAGAGTAAAAATGGCAGGAGATCCCAGACCCGTGTTATGCTCCTCTTGCTCAATGTGGGAGCTCAGGGACGCGACTGATGTCCCTGGCTCCTACATGTGCAAGAAGTGTGTCCAGCTGCAGCTCTTGTTAGACTGCATGATGGCTCTGGAGCTATGGATGGACTCACTTTGGAGCATCCGCAATGCTGAGGAAGTCGTGGATAGCACATTCAGCAAAATGGTCACACCGCAGATTTGGATTGCTGAGGGAGAAAGGGAATGGGTGACCAAAAGGCAGGTATATCATTTTGGATACTGTTGGGGGAGATGGCTCTCTAGGGGAAGGCAGCAGTAGCCAGGTTCATGGCACCGTGGCTGGCTCTGCTGTAGAGAAGGGCGGGAAAAAGAGTGAAAGGGCTATAGTCATAGGGGATTCGATTGTAAGGGGAGTAGATAGGCGGTTCTGTGGTCGAAAACGAGACTCCCGAATGGTACGTTGCCTCCTAGGAGCACGGGTCAGGGATGTCTCAGATCGACTGCAGGACATTCTGAAGGGTGAGGGTGAACAGCCAGCTGTCGTGGTGCATATAGGCACCAATGATATAGGTGAAAAACGGGATGAGGTCCTACAAGCAGAATTTAGGGAGTTCGGAGCCAAATTAAAAAGTAGGACCTCAGAGGTAGTAATCTCAGGATTGCTACCGGTGCCACGTGCCAGTCAGAGTAGAAATGAAAGAATAGGCAGGATAAATGAGTGGCTTGAGAGATGGTGCAGGAGGGAGAGGTTCAGATTTTTGGGACATTGGGACCAGTTCTGGGGGAGGTGGGACTATTACAAATCAGACGGTCTACACGTGGACAGGACTGGAACCAATGTCCTAGGGGCTGCTTTTGCTAATGCTGTTGGGGAGGGTTTAAACTAATGTGGCAGGGGGATGGGAACCAGACGAGGAGGTAAGTGGACAGTAAGGAGGTAGTAACTGAAGCCTGTAAGGAACTAGATAATGAAGTCAGTGTGACTAAGGGGAAGAGAGCAGATGATGAACGCAAAGGGACAGGTGGTCGGAGGTGCATTTGTTTTAATGTGAGAAGTGTAGTAGGTAAGGCAGATGAACTTAGGGCTTGGATTTGTACCTGGGAGTATGATGTTATTGCTATTACTGAGACTTGGTTGAGAGAAGGGCAAGATTGGCAACTAAATATCCCAGGATATAGATGCATCAGGCGGGATAGAGAGGGAGGTAAAAGGGGTGGAGGAGTTGCATTACTGGTCAAAGGGGATATCACAGCTGTGCTGAAGGAGGGCACTATGGAGGACTTGAGCAGTGAGGCAATATGGGCAGAGCTCAGAAATAGGAAGGGTGCAGTAACAATGTTGGGGCTGAACTACAGGTCTCCCAACAGTAAGCGTGAGATAGAGGTAAAAATACGTCAACAGATTATGGAAAGATGAAGGAGCAACAGGGTGGTGGTGATGGGAGATTTTAATTTTCCCAACATTGACTGGGTTTCACTTAGTGTTAGGGGTTTAGATGGAGTAGAATTTGTAAGGAGTATCCAGGAGGGTTTTCTAGAGCAGTATGTAAATAGTCCACTTTGGGAAGGGGCCATACTGGACCTGGTGTTGGGGAATGAGCCCGGCCAGGTGGTTGAAGTTTCAGTAGGGGATTACTTTGGGAATAGTGATCACAATTCCGTAAGTTTTAGAATACTGATGGACAAAGACGAGAGTGGTCCTAAAGGAAGAGTGCTGAATTGGGGGAAGGCCAACTACAGCAAAATTCGGCAGGAGCTGGGGAATGTGGATTGGGAGCAGCTGTTTGTAAATCCACATTTGATATGTGGGAGGCTTTTAAAGAGAGGTTGATTAGAGTGCAGGACAGACATGTCCCTGTGAAAATGAGGGATAGAAAGGGCAAGATTAGGGAACCATGAATGACAGGTGAAATTGTGAGACTAGCAAAGAGGAAAAAGAAAGCATATATAGGTCTGGGCGACTGAAAATAGACGAAGCTTTGGAAGAATATTGGGAAAGTAGGACCAATCTGAAATGAGGAATTAACAGGGCTAAAAGGGGTCATGAAATATCTTTAGCAAACAGGGTTAAAGAAAATCCCAAAGCCTTTTATTCATACATAAGGAGCAAGAGGGTAACTCGAGAAAGGGTTGACCCACTCAAGGACAAAGGAGGGAAGTTATGCGAGGAGTCAGAGAAAATGAGTGAGATTCTTAATGAGTACTTTGCGTCGGTATTCACTGAGGAGAGGGACATGACGGATGTTGAGGTTAGGGATAGATGTTTGATTACTCTAGGTCAAGTCGGCATAAGGAGGGGGGAAGTGTTGGGTTTTCTAAAAGGCGTTAGGGTGGACAAGTCCCCAGGTCCGGATGGGATCTATCCCAGGTTACTGAGGGAAGCGAGAGAGGAAATAGCTGGGGCCTTAACAGATATCTTTGCAGCATCCTTGAGCACGGGTGAGGTCCCGGAGGACTGGAGAATTGCTAATGTTGTCCCCTTGTTTAAGAAGAGCAGCAATGATAATCCAGGTAATTATAGACCGGTGAGCCTGATGTCAGTGTTGGGGAAGCTGCTGGAGAAGATACTGAGGGATAGGATCTATTTACATTTGGAAGAAAATGGGCTTATTAGTGATAGGCAGCATGGTTTTGTGCAGGGAAGGTCATGTCTTACCAACTTGATGGAATTCTTTGAGGAAGTGACAAAGTTGATAGATGAGGGAAGGGCTGTAGATGTCATATACATGGACTTCAGTAAGGCGTTTGATGAGGTTCCCCATGGTAGGCTGATGGAGAAAATGAAGTCGCATGGGGTCCAGGGTGTACTAGCTAGATGGATAGAGAACAGGCTGGGCAACAGGAGACAGAGAGTTGTAGTGGAAGGGAGTTTCTCAAAATGGAGAACTGTGACCAGTGGTGTTCCATAGGGATCCATGTTGGGACCACTGTTGTTTGTGATATACATAAATGATCTGGAGGAAGGTATAGATGGTCTGATTAGCAAGTTTGCAGATGACACTAAGATTGGTGGAGTAGCAGATAGTGAAGGGGACTGTCGGAGAATGCAGCAGAATATAGATAGATTGGAGAGTTGGGCGGAGAAATGGCAGATGGCGTTCAATCCAGGCAAATGCGACGTGATGAATTTTGGAAGATCCAAGTCAAGAGCGAACTATACGGTAAATGGAAAAGCCCTGGGGAAAATTGATGCACAGAGAGATCTGGGTGTTCAGGTCCATTGTACCCTGAAGGTGGCAACGCAGGTCGATAGAGTGGTCAAGAAGGTATATGACGTGCTTTCATTCATCGGGTGGGGTATTGAGTACAAGAGTTGGCAGGTCATGTTGCAGTTGTATAGGACTTTGGTTCGACCACATTTGGAATACTGTGTACAGTTCTGGTCACCACATTACTAAAAGGATGTGGATGCTTTGGAGAGGGTGCAGAGGAGGTTCACCAGGATGTTGCCTGGTATGGAGGGCGCTAGCTATGAAGAGAGGTTGAGTAGATTAGGATTATTTACATTAGAAAGACGGAGGTTGAGGGGGGACCTGATTGAGGTCTACAAAATCATGAGAGGTATAGACAGGGTGGATAGCAAGAAGCTTTTTCCCAGAGTAGGGGACTCAATTACTAGGGGTCACGATTTCAAGGTGAGTGGGGAAAAGTTTAAGGGAGATATGCGTGGAAAGTTCTTTACGCAGAGGGTGGTGGGTGCCTGGAACGCGTTGCCAGCGGAGGTGGTAGAGGTGGGCACGATAGCGTCATTTAAGAC